TAACCATTTCAAATAGAACTGTTCTCCTCCAAACTCTAATAAAATGAAATTTTTCATATCTGTACAAAATATAGTTTAAGAAGTTGTATAATAGGACAATATGCTACATGATAATTCCATTTATTAGTGGTTCATACTCAGTTTTCTTACCACAAGCTATTCAACAATATAGATTACCAATTTCATACCACAATTGTACAATGAGACATGCAAATTGGATTCATGTCAGTGGTATATATTTATGAAGAAAAAGAAAAAAACTAACAAGTAAATAGACTCAGAATCATCTAGGCTAATCGAGATTCGTTTTAGATGGAGATTTGTCTTGGAAGGCTGAAAGAATTACTCATTTCACCTATGACTACTAAGAGTAAGGTAAAGTAAAGTAGAATAGAAAGAAGAATATTATATTGTTAAAGTCTCTTCTCTGTTGCTTGATGATGTCTAAAAGTTTGGGAGGCTCTTCAATATTTATATTCTACGTCTAAGTATTCATGGACTACATCTATTTCTCATACAAATTATGTATCTCTTTAACTATAAGTCACAATGTCAGGTATTCTCCTGAAGTGCAAACACTAGGAGATCTTGAAAACCATCACACTCTCTTCAGTAATTACTATTTTGTAAGTTAGGAACCTTACTGTTCCTAATAGTAATTATATGATCTTTAGAGTTATTAGACTTTTAGCCTAGTTCTTAAGTCAAACTGAGTTGGCCCCAATTGTCTCTCCTATTAATAAAACAATCAGTTTCATCTATGGGTCATGTCTGCAGGAGTAGTTGTAGGTGCAACCTTCCTAGGTTGCTAACTTTAAACCTCCATAACTCCTGATCCAACAAACAAATATATAGTAGATAACTTCCTACTAATTTCCCACAACCCATTCTACCGGATTGGCAGATAATTCCTTGGTTGGTAACTCCTGGTTGTTCTAGGTAACAGGTCTTTTGTTGTTGTTTGATATTGGAGATAGTTCCTGCAACCACAACTGATTCCTGGACCTAGTTGTAACACTTCACAAAGTCCATTGACTTCTTTTGTAGTATCCCTCAGAGTTCTAAACACTTTTAATTATTGTAGGATAGATATTAATGTGTTGGTTCTTGGTAGAGATCCTCTAACATTCAATAATATGCCTTTGTGCAAAAATGTCCCATTACTTACAGCTTATACCAATTATGTTCCATTTTTAAAGCCAGGTAACTCTTTGGGTTATTGATGGATTTACTCTGTTCCACTTCTCAGACCTTACTGAAGGTCCCCTCTCATATATCCTGTGAACAGGATCCAGCCAGATTGATGGTAGCGACATGTATGGTATTATCCTGACACCTTCAATTCTGTGGCATTATAGTCACAAGACGCAACTAAGATAGATATGTATGATGATGATCTGCAGGACCTGTGTGGGGGCCTGTGTAGGATATTGGAGACTAGAGATTCCGATTCTGAGTAGGATTACCATACTTAGTGTAGTTCCTAGATATTGGATTCTGGTACTCCTAATTGCACTTGAAATAGGAGAATATTTAAAAAATTGTTGTTTCAGTATAATATAAAGCGGTTTTCTTGGTAGGTGTAACCGGTACGGGTACTTGGTTATTGGTTTTGTTTTATGTTTTGTTTTAAGTATCGCTTTGATACTTGGTTTGTTTTAAGTATTGTTTGATACTTGGTTTTGTTTTATGTTTTGTTTTAAGTATCGCTTTGATACTTGGTTTTGTTTTATGTTTTGTTTTAAGTATCGCTTTGATACTTGGTTTGTTTTAAGTATCGTTTGATACTTGGTTTTGTTTTATGTTTTGTTTTAAGTATTGCTTTGATACTTGGTTTGTTTTAAGTATCGTTTGATACTTGGTTTTGTTTTTGTTTTGTTTTAAGTATCGCTTTGATACTTAAGGAGTTTTACCAAAGTGTATCGATTGATACCTTTGACTAGTTTTGTTCATGCTAGACATGAACAGATTTGTGTATTTAAAGACCGCCTGTTTCTACGATAGAAAAGGCAGACTTTGACAGACAGTATTTCAATATACTTAGTTGAATGGTTACTTCTTTGTTTCCCAGTACATCCTCGAAGCCTCCTTTAGTTCTCAGCTCTCGCCTCCTCTCTGGAAGAGCAGGCCACCTGCCAACTATCGTACTTAGTGCCGATAACGTGATTAGCACCCTGCGAACACGTTACAGTAGGGTAGCTGTAACTATAGCTGAAGAACTACCTGTAATGTAAGACTGAATTTGATATGACTGTAGTGACTCAGTAGTGTGTTTTGATCAGAAAATGTTTCCACTTGAGAAGTGAGCATAAAACTAAATCTATATCCTTTTTCTGCAAAAGCTAAAACCTTATAGCCTAATGGAATAGGCTTTCCAGGAATTGCAATAGTGTGAAATGATCTCTCAACAAATCTGATCATTATTTCATCAATTGCACAGTGGTTGCAGGTATAAGATACTGTTGGAATATCTTCCGCAACTCATCTGCTAATGGTAAGAGCTTATAATACTACTACTATCTTGGAAGGGATCTCACTGGGGCAGAAATGTGGAAAAAAGTCTTGATTTGTTCAAACATTTGGAGTGACATAAAGGTGATTATTCTATTAACCTTATTAATATACATTAATATTATAATTAAACAAAGTACACTTGTACCCTCCTATCTGGGAGAGCCAGAATTCACAAATTACGTCAGAAACAACTGGGTAAAGAGGACAGCAGGTTAGGTGAGTGGAGGGGAATTTAGAATTCCTAGAAATTCATATGCAGTAGCAGGGTATCCGGATTATTGAGATCTAGGATGGTAGAGTGTGCATGTGTTTGAAAAGCTCAAGATAGAAGAAACAAAAAGAGAAAGAAGAAAATTATGATAGCTAAGAGAAAATGAATGTCTTACCAGTGAACTGGCCCATGATCATCCCGCCGCTAAAAATTCAGCATACTACCACTTTTGGGACTATGCACTCCCATGTATATTACGATTCCAAGCCAAATTTTCAGATGTTCAATTGTGATATCCTTCCATGGTCTTCGTCCCTGCTCTCCAGCCTCTTTCCCATGCGCATATAAATTTGTATTCTGAACCAGCGAAGAAAGAATCTCATTTGTAAAAAAGAGACTAAAATAGCTTCTGGCAGAGGGGATATTGGTATAGTTGGTATGTTGGCTACCGGGGTGGAATTCGGGACTGGTGGGAAAACTTTGAGGAAGAATTACCCTTCTCGCATGCGGTGGATGAATGTGTTTGATGGTATAATAATCCTAGTAGTAGAATGTTGCACTGGAGGAAGCATATTAGGGCACATATGGAGGTATAGGGCATAGCAGGGATTTAGGGCTCACATGTACGAGCAGAGTGTTCACTATAAAGTAAACATCTAGCTAGCAACCTCCATAGCAGAATTGAACCACAACGTACCTTTCTCACGACCACATCTGCGCACGATCATAGCCGACCTCCATAAGTGTTGATATGGGGTAAATGGCGGAACAGGCGGAAGGGATAATGTACCCCTGGATTCGGTAATACTTCTTGAAGGGTTCGGTGAAGGTATTTCTCGCTCCGGTGTGTGCTGACTTCTACCTTCATCTTTCTCATGGTCGGCAGGTTCGGTGTTGGTACTGCTCTCTAAGCCATTCACACTTTGACACAGAATCCAGACCGCTTCTTCGCTACTGTCATCTGGATCCATATTTAGAACATGGTGAAAGATTGTGAAATCGTAAAGGTTTGCGGTGCGGTGAAGGGTTGTAGTATCATGAAGGTTCACCATGATCACATCATAAATCCTCACACTTTCTTAATTGGGACATCTAATATCGTTTCTCCTTGGCCTGCAAATCTATACGCTTATTGGTATCGTATTGCTGCACCTCTATTGATGTTTCCCTATACGTCTTGGCCCCCCCCTCCCAGGCCGTAATTCGAAAACAAGGTAAGGGTTCCGAAGGTCACCTGGCGTCCTTGGAAGTGACGGGGAACCTTGGCACGGTCAAATAGGGTACGATACCTCCTCGCCCTTCTAGACAGCAAAGTGCGACGGGATCTGCTCGGGGCTAGGCATAGTACTCATCACTTTCAATCACCCCGTGCGATGGGCGTGCAGACCTTACTGATTTTCTAGCCGGCTAACACGTAGGCTCCTGCATGGTGTAGGAGCTCGCTTTCAAACGACATCAGAATCGAATGCCAACGAGCGGTAAGAATCATGGTCATCCTATCATTACAAACCAATATGTTTACAGTGATCCCCGCTCCGCTATCGTCGGGTTGTCTAGGTGTCGCCGGCATGTGCAGGCCCCGACCTTGCCGATATCTTGTGGGCAATGCCCTGCCGTTCACCTCATGCATCACCAGGGTGGAGTGGAGATTGGATCAAGACGTGGAATTGAGACTCTGGGGAGGGGACGGAAAGTTGGGGTTGGGAGATCTAGTAACGATAGATTCAAAGCATTGGGAGTATTCTCTATCCTGGGAGGCTTCTCATAAGTCGAGAGGTTCCGAGAGCATGGACGGATTGTTCGTACATTTCCAAATACTATTAGTAATAAGGCTTTTGTCTCTTACCGCCTCAGTATCAGTGCCAAACCCAAACCCATACGATACCTCTAACCCTACGCCCCATAGATGCATCATATTGGAAAGCAAATATCATAATAATAAATATGTTTGGATAATTATCTAATGCACAATACCACTCATCTAAAACGTTCCCCTATTAGAACAATCAAGCTTCTCTCATTCTGACCTGGATAGTGTTTGGATTACGAATTATCACTATAGCCATAGCAGTAGAATTGCACTTTTTTAGTGCTAACCCATAACTAGGTGGAAGACGTTAACCCATAACGGATGCAAGCCGTGGGTGAGGATACCGGTATGTCTAGTTTAACCAATAGATTGACTACCTATCTTGACCTTGCATGAAGGCTGCAAACAGATGATCATTACGCATCACTCGCTAGACATTGCTAGTCGCTAAGCATCACCAGAACATCCATTCCCTCATCATTTCGTATTCATGCGAATTCATCAAAAATGATAGACCACCATGCAAGCTAAATCTACTCTGATATAATAATACAAGGAACAAAAAAAGGACAGCTAAAATAAACCAAATTCGTCTTCGCCTCCCTTCCGTTCACAAAGTACGCAGCCGCCCTGGACCCTGTGTCTGATAAGGGCGGCATGCGTAACTTTGGTCCCCACGCTGCGTCCCATTACACCTAGTATTTCTTCCTCCGCACCATGGCCGCATACCTCAGGCACATCCGCCTCGCTGCCGTGAGCAATCACAAGACAGCGTACGTGAAAGATGTGTCGGCAGGCAAAAGCTATGAGAGTATCTTTCTCTATATTATTATCAGCTAAGTTTCGTGATTGGAGAAAAGAAAGATTTGCTATCATACCTGTGGGTTCGAAGTCGACCTTGCATACTCCACATGCATATCTCCCGCCAACACCAAGACCAATTTCCTCCCTCTCGAGTTCAACATCCCGAACTGTCCCGCCGACCTCAGTAGCTGGGCCTTCAACCTCGGTGCTAAGGTGAAGCTCTCGCTCGATCGCAACTTCGAATTTGACACCCCGTCGCTGCCCTTTGCGGAGCTCTTCCATGCCTCTTGCCACTTCGCTTCTAAGGACTTTTGCAACTCCGTCGCAGATGCTCCATTGTACGCCGTACTCTTTCAGGATCTTTCCTAAGGCGGCTTTAAGCCCCTCGATTTCTAGCCCTGTCGGAATCCTCCTTACTAGAGTGATCGGATCAATAGTGGTTCCAACGTTCTCAAGCAGCCCGCGAATAAACTTTGGCTTGTCCATAGAGTAATCCAACAGGTCATTCCAAAGATCCGGATCATCCTGAGTCTTTGCAAATGCTATAGCCTGAGAGACATCGGCCAACTTGTCGATAATAAGGAAGAGCGCACGCTTAGTTTGCCCGGTCTTAGAGAGCAGATGAACCAACTCTGGTATATAGTTTCGCCTCTCGCACACTGCAGATGCCTTCTCTAAGGAGTATGAATGACTGTCCTTAAGGAAGTCCATTAGTAACGGCCGGTCGTACTCGGCAAACAATTCGACCATCAAGTCTCCAAATTCTGCTAATATTCCTCCTCCTCCAATTCCAATGCCCTCTCCACCCATCCCAGAACTATCTCCGGCACTACCTATCCACAATCGACGGAGATAAAAAAACAAAAATAACTTTCCACCGGCAACCTTGTCGTCGTCTAGCTGCCGCACCACCATCTTCGGTCCAACAATGCCATGTCCAGCCTCTTGTACCAACAAGCCAATCGCCTCCTCCGTTCCCCCCTCCAACTCAGCGATACTGGCGTTCTGCATCTGCTCATCAGACACCCGAAGCTTTATGAAAGATAGGATATCGTCCTTGACAGCATCGACAAGACGGAACTCCCTGATGAGTTTGAATGCCTCGTCGGCATTCTTGAGTATGACATAGAATTTCAGTGCATTCCTGGGCTCGGCGACGGCCATAAATAATTTCGCAAGGCACTCTTGCAGTATTATCCAGTCCTCATCTCCTTCATAAACGTCATCTTCACGGTTGTCAAGCTTCCTCTCAACGGCATTGATGATAGTCCGGGGATCGTACAACGACCTCGAGCCCTCCGGTCTCCAGTCATGCACAAGAAGCTTTTGGAATCGCCGTCGATCATGTGTGAGATAATGCGCCAAAACGATCTCATATATCACGCTTGGCAGTGGCGGTGATAATGGCGTGCTAGGTATGTAAGGCGTGATTTCCTCTATTTTTCCAGCTGCTTCGAACACCCACACCCAGTGCTCCCATCTTCCTGACACTCCCAAAACTTTCCTGCATACAGCGCCGGCCGTAGTCCAGTCACCGACATCAATCAAGCTCCGCAGCCATAACTCGCCAATTCTCCGTTTTTCTTTTTCCGCGGCGGAGGACATCTGAACAACCTTATGTCTGCCGCCACTGATGGTTGAATCAGAGTCATAGGCTGGGTCCGAAGCATCAGCATCAACCACAATCCGCTCAATCTCATCGTACTCGCTTAAAGAGGCAGTATCGGACGAAATAATGTCGGGCTGCGCATCGACTAATTCCCACGCATCCTTGTACTTTTCCTTCTCCAACAGCCATCCAAGATGATCTTTTGGGCTTCTCTCAGTAGCAAACACTACATCATAGGGACTAGTAATATAGATTTTTTTGCCCGGGTATTCCTCCCACCCGACATCTTCCTTTTTCTCCTTCATTCCCCGGAGACCAGAAAGACTTCCCGAGGCCTTACTCGCACTCGCATTGCTGAAACTTTCTCGTCGAGACACGCTGCCCAGACTTCGCACACTCGCTGCGCTAGAAAATATCTGTGTAGCATTCATTCCCGCAGCCCACAAATAATTGCTTGCGGTACCTATACCGAGAATATCACCTTCTCCAGAAGCTGAAGGAGGGCGAGTGGTCATAGGTGGGTTAGTCGGTAAAACACCAAGGTGGTAATCACCAACAGCCAGGCCCTCGAATCTGCTCATCAATAATTCGTCCGCGCTTACTTCTTCTGACGTGTTAAGATCAATGAATCTCAACTCAGGAGTAAGTGCATTAGTTCGTCCACGGCGAGTGCGGGACCCGGAACTCGGGGAGGCCCCAGCACCAGCACTAGAAGAGGCCTGCCCAGGCTCAGGAGACGATGGTTTCTCTTCCTTAAGGTAAGCCAGGAGCAGAACAAGAGATGGGCTATACAAGGTCAAGCCAGAAATAGTGCAGTCGGTTTGCAAGCTAAAGAGTCATTGTCAGCATTATCTCTCGATGTCACTTTTCTTTCGGGCACCCACATGTGCACAATCTCTGCCCACCCAGCCCGCTTCTCCTCTTCCCCCGTTCCATCTCCCGCAAAAACATCCATAACCCAAATTGTACCACCCCATCCAACCAAGAGCTTCTCTCGTTGCCCCCAGTCAGTTCCAATCGAGGGCTTCCCTTTCACTGCTGTAGGACTGATGTCATCTGCGGTGCTCAGGGTCCGGCCATCCACATCATCTTCAGATAAATTACGCCTATCAATCCACTCGAGTCTCGGTTTGTGAACCGCCGCCAACTCCTCAGGAATACTTTCTGGCCTCTCGATTGCCGAGATTCGCTTCCAAGCGATCTCACCCACTGGCCGCCCACCAACCCCTAAACCTGGAATCCAACTCGCCAATCCAGGATTGACACCGATACTCGGACCTCCTTCACCTCCTTCAGTAACCTCTTCCTTTTTGATCTCTGGCGGTACAATATGAGATCTCATAATCTTAATCCCCTGCTCGTTTGTCCAGGCCACAAATCTCGGCGATTCTTTACTCCACGAGATCGCGGATATAGCGCCTTCCCCAGAATGTAAAACAGTATCCTTGCCACTACCACCTCCCAACCCCATCCATGCCATTCCGCCACCACCACCTGCTGGAGGTGCCACAGAGAGAATCAGGTTCCCCGCTAGTCCACCAGATATAAAGGTTCGATCGGTACGAAAGTTTGGCGACAGTGCTACTGATTGAATCGGGCGTTTGAAATTCTTGAAGGTAATTTCTGACTTGGAATATGGGGCAGCTGACGAATTGTTGCCAGGGTTGGCGGGAAGGAGGGGTACGATACAGACAAGGCCATCAATAGCAGAGGTCGCAACATGGATATTGCGGTCTTGGTGAGCGGCAAAACGCCGGATTTGAGCCGGGAGTGGAGGAGGGGGAGGCGGTGATACCGAAATGGAGGTTATCGAGGCGGAATGCGCATGGTAGACCCGTATGCTATTGAGTGATGGTAGCGATAATATATGCTATATAATAGATTCAAACGTTAATCAGCAATAGAGTCGACCGAGCCTAATAGGGATGAACATCGCAAGAAATGAGGCTCACAATGTTCCCGTTGTGGGTTCCTATAACCTAGTCGTACGGATTAGCGCTCAACTAGGGAACACGGCCAGAATGATACAAACCATCCTCTCGCCAAAGACCAAGCTCGCAGATACCGCATCGCCATTCCGATATACCCCTCCTAGCGACCGTGTTAAACGAGTGTACTTCAGACGGGGCTCCTCATCTTCCTCCTCTTCTTCCGTCGCTGCCTCCTGCCCTCGGTCCTGCCCCTCAATTTCCTGTTGCTCTTCCTCGCGTTGGAACTGACTGGGAGGTCGCGAAGATGACATTGTGTATAGGGCTGTACTCAGAACGAAAGGGAGATGGGAAAGGGGGCAAGTGAAGAGGAGAAAGCGGTGCGAATCCGAAGCTCCCAGATCAGAGCTTGGGAGACGTGTGTTGCACGACGACTGGCTGCTCATCACGTGACAAGGCTTGGCTGCGTTAAGACCATAACCAAACATTTATCACTACGGTCTCTTCCGGCGTTGCGAGATTCCGGAGTCGCGAGAGTGGCTGCAGAATTGTGGGAGTATGCATAATCCCAAGACCACACTAAACCTATAACAGAACAGATGACCTCAAGACAAAAGTTTAAGTATGACAAACAAGGGCGTAGGATCCAAGCACCATATTATAGTGGTATAGTAGAGTAGATTGCAGTGACCACACTTTTGAGGGAAGTATTTTGAATTCCCATTCTACCATATTCCCTATCCTGTGTTTTACTGGTATATAAAATGCCAGTTCTTTAAAAACCGCTGTGGCTTCCAGAAATCTTTAGTCTTGATGAAAAAAAGAACATATAGCGATGACCTGGATGGAGAGAGAACTGCATGATAGCCTTACTCCGAATCGGAAGATGATTGCTGAAGCCTGTGGTATTGCATATTCAACCTTGTACCATGCAATCAGAGGTCATGGAAGTAGGAAAGAGAGTATAGAAAAAAAGTGTAAGTTAACAGTAGGTGAGGAGAAAGCTATTCTGGATAGATGTAGCTTGTTGAGCTCATGGCTTCAGCCTGTACAACATGGAGTGGTAAGGAATATGGTACAAGGTTTGCTACAATTAAGAGAGCCCGAAGGAATCATTGGAATGTATTGGGTTTATGATTTTATTAAACACCATGACCAGTTAGCAAGTACATTCAGTAAGCAGATCGAGAATTGCTGTGCTGTTCAGGCAAATAATCCAATTGTACTTAATATGTACTTTGATCATATAAGTTATTTTGATTTTACAGTGACTAGACAAAAGTCTTGGTGATTGCTCCATATGAGACAAAGTCCATGCCCTGAACGGTATTGCACAATCCTATAACGGTAAAAAAAAATTGATATTAAAAATTACGGTACATGTAAACATCCCACTCAGCCTTAGTATTTTGTATACCACCCCTTAGCTTCAATCACTGCAGCCACACGCGAAGGCATGGATTTCCAGAGCTTTTCAAAGACACTCTCCGGTATCGTCTCCCACACCAATGGTAAGACCTCCACCAATTGATCTCGTACTCTCTCAGGACCACCAGGGGTATTCAGGATATTGGGATACTGTTTATGCAAGCGGCGTTTAAGCTCAACCCATGTGTGTTCAATCGGGTTGAGATCAGGTGAAAGTGGGGGGTGATCTTCCAACTCAATTCTGTTCTCAGTAAGCCATGCCATGGTGTCGCGAGCTGTGTGCACCTTTACGCTATCCTGCTGAAAGAGAGGATCTCCGACCTCATCTGCGATCTCCTGCATAGGTGGCCCTAAATGGGCATCTAATAGTCTAATATAGACATGTCTATCCACAGTCGCATCCCTAATTGGGACCAAAGGACCTGGGCGCTTTCCCCAAAAGCAGCCCCAAACCATTAGGCCGACCTCATTGGTCTTCCCCCTAGGCTGAATGCAGTCTGATAGCCACTTTTCATGTGGTGATCGAAATACTCAAATACGCCGAGGATCTGCCGATTTTCACACCATACACTCATCACTATAGAGAATACTGTGAAAGTCTTCTGCAGTCCAATTCTTCCGGGCAAGGGCCCATTTTAGCCTAGCCTTAGCATGTCTTGGTTCCAATTTAGGTCTTGTTTATGCAAGCCACTTTTTAACATTGGCTTCTCGGAGAACACGATCAATGGTGCGAATTGAAACATGAGGGGCGTATCAGTTCCAAAGTTCTAAACGGGTCATCGCACGATCTCTTTTGGCAGCTCTGACAATCGTGCACTTTTCTCGGCATCTAAGAAGCTGGGGACGACCCGATCGGGGTTTATTATCCATTGATCCGCGAGCACATGCACGTGCAAGAAAGTTCCGAACTGTTGACCAAGGGGGGCTGACCAGATTAGCAACGGTCAAGATCGTTTGAAAGACATAGAAAAAGGCAATGATCATGCCTTTTTCAGCATCTGTCATCTCTCGGCGGGCTGTTTTATGCTGATGAGCTCGTTTAGGAGGCATTGTATAATTGTTTTGGGTGGTGTAACATGATAGATTTCCAGGAGAGTGTGTACGCGATTTTAAAGCGGGATCATATTGTGTTCACTTAGCTGTTGCTGACTAAGCGATTACCAAGACTTTTGTCTAGTCACTGTATTTATAATATTTGTCTATGACTTAAAACTAATACAATTAATTAAGTTAACAGAACTATAAACCTCCATAATGTGCATCCTGAAAATCTATACAACTTTGATGAAATCGAATTTCTTATGGGTGCATCCCATTCAGAAAAGGTTGTAGTGGATATTAGAGAATTACAGCTTAATGGAGCATTAAGAACTTTTTGGTATATCAACAAATGTACAATAATATTTTCACTCTGCAAATATGTACAATAGATGGAAACTGAGAAATGGCAACAGTAATTGAAGTCATATGTGCTGATGGAGAAAATCTTAGTCTGATGATTATCTACAAGGCAGAGGAATTCAAAGTTGGATAATTTGATCCAACTCTATCTTTTGCAGGAGATATTCTTTGCAGCCATTGTCCAAATGGATGGACAGATAATGAGATGGGATTGGACTACCTAAAGTATCACGTTGGTTCAGGAAGCCTATCGGCAAAGAAAGCAAATGGCCAGTATCAAATGATTATATTTAATGGTCATGAATTTCACGTATTGCATGGATTCCTACAGTACTGCATTGATAATTGTATTATTACCTCCACACAGTACAAATCTCCTTTATCTACTAGATGTTGGAATCTTTAGACCATACAAGAACTATTATGCTCAGGTTCTAGAAAAAGAATTTTGTTACGGACGCTATGGAGTATCAAAAGCCAACTTTTAGGAGTTGCCATCACAGGCACGAGAAAAAGCCTTTACAGTACAAAATGTTATATCAGCTTTTATAACAACTGACATCAACCCACTCGACAGATATACAGCACTTCACAAGATTCCCACATATGACTCAGTAAAGCATACCGATCGTAAAGTCATGTATGATGATCTGTCTAATCCGAAATTGAAGCAACCAACATACCAGAGTTCCTTTCCTGTGCAGTCCATCTCGTTCCAATCCCAACCAATTCATATCCTGAAATCTCAAGCTATCCCATCATCAACTAACGACTCCACTATCCTTCTTCGAAACCGAGCATGACAACCCCAAACTCCACCATTATGTGCTCTATCACCTGAGCTTCTAGCAATACCAACAACTCCAAACTCACTAAAACAATTAAGCGATGACCTATTCTAATTAGCTAGTAATCCCTCTCTTAGTCCATCCAAGATTCAAATCCATAAGTCCAAGCTTACCAAGTTGATTCATTCTGTGCAGTTCACCTATGCAAAGATTCATCTGACAGAGAAGGCACAACTTTAGCAAAAATCTGAACAATGGAAACGAAAAGCTCACACCCAGCGATGTGCACGGAAGAAGATTCCCACCCATAGACAAGCCTTTATAACAGCAGACGATCTGTGATACTGGAGGAAAGATATTGTTAGTAAAGAGTATAAAAAGATACAATAAAAGAGAGTACGACATTTAAAGCGAAAAGAGAACTTACAGGACCAACTTCAGAAACTGAAACAAAAAATGCCAGAGTAAAAACAGAATCCTTGATCTCAAATTAGACTCAGCCATGAAGTCTTGTATCAGAAAATAAAGAAAGTTGAAGTCAAGATTAATGGAGTAGCGGATAAGATTGCCTTGTTAGATAATAAGTTAGCGGAGTTTGTTGGAGAAAGATTAGAGGTAACTGACTATAGTGATTTGGGTGAGGATGATGAGATGGCTGATGAGTCCATGGACAGTGAGGAGAGTATTGGGTATGTAGCTGAACATGATAGTCTGAATCAGACAATGCTCAATTAGATTTTATTAGCTTGTTCACCTTTTTATAAAGTATTAATTTGGACTTACTTTTTTTTTTCTTTTATATTTTTCTTGTTCCTCTTAATTACCTTCATGTCGACTAAGTAAGAGAGGATAAAATGTGTTGTTGCTCTGGATGTGTTGTCATGTTAGTGTTATTTGCGTTTGATGATAATGGTGTTGAGTAAAGAGAAGGTAGAGCACATGTGCTAATAACTAAATAGTCTTGGCCTCTAAGACAGTAAGCGGCAGCGCCACTCTGGTGACTTGGGAATCTCGCAACGCCGGAAGAGAACGTACCGACCATTTGAATTGCCCTTCTATTCTTCAGGGATCCATTAAGTCTATCGACTCATACTATATCCTAATAAGTTTCCTTACCTGTACAGTACGAGTACGATCTTGGCGTGAAATGTTATGAGTAGTACCGAGGCACATGTAACAATCCCTCTTCAGATAGTTAGTTCTTGGTGACTGGGAGCGATACTTCTCTTCTCCTCCTTGTTCTATTCTTCATTTTACGATAGCACTAGGCTTCTGCCTACGTTACCGATAGTACAAGACCTTTGTCTTCTATCAGGATTGCCTATCATAAGCTTTCTCTAACTCTTCTTTTGTGAAGAGCTTTCCTTGGCATAACAATAAAGATTGTGATAATGATAAAGATCGTAAAGATGTTGTATATTTGTTAAAGTAATAAGTAGGAAAAGTACTTATAATTTAATCTAATTTTATTTAAACTCGTACCACCAATACTGGTATACGATGAGCCCCCACTGGGACAGAGATACCGCCAACTGGTATACTATTAATCCTATGCTAAATAAGTCTACGGCTCCGCACCAACCATCTCCGAGTTATGTCTACATGGAAACTAATTACAAGATGATTAAACAACCCAGCGCCCACCCCAGTCCAAGTCTATAGCCCCTCTGGTATGAAGTCAACCAGCACTAAGTATA